ACGCCGTTGACTTAACGTTCATTACTGTATATATAAATTTATGACCTACCCCAACCCCGTCCCTAAACCTACCCGTAACTGGGGTTAATACCATTTACGAGTCTTCCCCTACCATCCTAGGGGAAAAAATATCGGTCCCCAGATGTAGATCTACATTTTGCTTCGTTTCGCTCGGACATTTAATGGCGTGTACATACACGCGGAATCACTCGGACATTTAACGGCGTAGACATACACGCAAAAGATGACGGTTCATGCGGATAGCTCAAAATGCGTATAGATAACACGCCACTTTCAAGATGTCTAGTTAGTTGGCTGTGGCGAGCAGGACGAGGGGGAGGGACGTGAGAGGACGACGCGAGTGACAATGAATGACACCTGTGCAGCGGTCTCATATCTCTCACGGAGGAGCGGAAGCACAAAAGGAACAGGCCTGATTTTATGTTTTGTTTCTGTTGTGTGTGGCCAGCTGGCTTATACTTTTGTTTTGTATTTGTTTATTTTACTATTAAAATGTTTAAATGTTCGCCGGTTCCCGCGTCCTTCTTCCCACAACAACGAACCCCGTTACATTGGCAAACTCATTAGCGAATTACTCCTCGTTTGTATTTCTTTCTCTATGGTGAATTATTGCATTTTACCTGGATGTTCAGTCAGAACATATGCGGTGCGACACTAGGATGGTTCACATCACAACACAAACGTCCGTGTGCTCGTCTGATTCAGAGATTTCGTCCAGGAGAAATTGCGATCGTTGAAATTCTCTGTAGCAGACGGACTCTATCTGTGTCCGTAGCGCACAGCGAGAGCACAGGCACCATCAGTCCGCCTAGTTCGAGCCAGTCCGGGCTCCTCGTCCGCCTCCTGTTCCTCCATCAGCCTCAGCTGCTCTTCACTATACTGCGGCTCGTAAAGATAGCCACGAACAGCGGATTCGAGCAGCAGAATTTCAAAATCCTCTTCTTCCATATCATGTTTAGTTTCTTCCGTCATTGTCGTAACTTCCTATCTCCACAGTGCTTGTTAGCTTAGCTTATATACAAGATGGCTGATATTGATTTCAGTATCTGCAAGTGAAGTCCCACCCACTGATCTGTGATAGCTCTGTTAGCGCATTAGGTCCAACCCCCTATGGGCGGGTTTGAAAGGGTGGGAATTTGTGCTTGTAGTCTATACAGAAATCCCCCCTTTTTACACTTCCTCCTACAATGACGTCAAATGACGATTTTTGCGTCATTGTAGGAGGAAGTGAAAAAGGTAAATAGTGGATTTCTCTCGTCTCAGGGGAAAATGAAAGAATGTTGCACGACCATTCAATAGTATGACTGGTTGTCTAACAATGGACCTCTTAATGCAAATGGGTGAAGTGTCCCTTTAAAAGCTAACCAAAAAAAGAGATCCTCTGTGAAAATGGATGAGACGTGAGTGAAGATTTGGAAAAAGAAACAAGATATTCCATGTCCAGTGGAATAACTAATGGAATATTGTTAAATTTGCTGATAATCGGGTGACCAGATCGCAAAACAAAATACAAAGCTTAAATTTATGGGCTCATGCACAACTCTCTCATTCGGCACGAATCCAAATGTTTCCATGGCTGCAATGTAACAGTTTATTACCATCCTATTATTTCTTTTGTAAACAAAGCTTTGTGCTTCACTCGTGTCATAATATTTATGTAAAACACCATTCACGTACAAAAATTATGTTCTGGCGGACCACCGCTGGTGCTACTCGCTGGTGCGGTTTTCAAGTTTACCGGCACAGCCCAATTAAATACAGCGTGCTGCGCATATCTGGCTTACTTGAACATGCACATCACTACGCAACAAATAACGGCGCGTTTGTTCATTTGCATTGAAGTAATAGCGTAGATTAAAAAGCATTTGGTTATAGTGTTGTCACGGTACCAAAATTTCAGTATTCGGTACAGATACCAGTGAAAATCCACGGTTCTCGGTACCAATTTCGGTACCAAACCAAAGTTTAATTTAGACTAAATTTACAAGAAAAAATCCACGGTATTCGGTACCAAAGCAAAACACAAAAACATGCAAACTGAACAACACACTTTTTTTTATTAATAGAGGTAAATAATGCCATTCTTTATACTTATTTCAAATTGTGTTTCAAGTTTTTCCACAAGTAATAAATAAAAATAAATTACACACCTAAAAAACACAACAATAAGCCATGGCCCATGACTTAATAAACACTTCTTATTTATAAGCTTACATTTTTTTTATAAATTAAACAAAATATGCCATGACTGAACATCACTTTATAAACTAAAATATTATTAGAAATAAAAATAAAAAAACAATGGCATAATTTAAGTATTTCAAGCCAAGAATTGTAAACATTTGAGTAATTAAATAACTAGATACAAGTTTCTGCTTAAAGTTTCACCCAAAACAATACTGGCATACAGTTAACTTACAGTTATTCCTTAAGTTACTTTCTTTGCCATTTCCAGATTTTCTGAAAGAAACACTAACATATCAACATGTTCTTGACTCAGTCTTGAGCGTCTTGGGCTAACAATATACCCTGCAGTACTGAACACTCTTTCAGATGAACAGCTTGATGCAGCAATGCACAGATACTTCCTGGCAAACTCTGATAGTTGGGTAGTGTACCCATATTTGTTTTCCACCAGGAAAGTGGATCATCCTCAGCACTGACCTCAGGCATCTGATCGTACACCATGAATTCACCATTTAACTCGTCACTTGCAGAAAGATGTGCTTGACTTGAGGATGTTGGTTCTCCTTTTTCTTTCTTTTCCCCTTGTATGGTGGAAAGCAGATGCTTCAGGTCATTTTTGGATTTTTTTGATGGCCTGACTTCTTGACTTGACTCTCCTCCAGACACCCGAGATGCACTTCCTTCATTGCCCATTTTCCTCACCTCATCCAGGAGACTTAGCTTCACATCATCCTTAAGAGAAACAAAACTGTTCTTAAATCTTGGATCAAGGTAAGTTGCAGTGTTCAAAAGAAACTGCAGCTGCAGGTCATCATAGCGATGCTTAAGATAGTCGTGTATCTTTTCCTTCATCTCTTGGGCTAATGCAGAGTCACTTTGTTCATGACTGAGACACTCAAATATCTTCCTGAGTAATGGCAGGACTGAGTACAGGGTGGTATGTTTTTCCCCACTAAGTGCATCAGTAAAAGGACTGAGTGGCTCAAGAACTGCTTTAACAGTTTCTAAAACTGTAATGTCTGAGTCTTTTGGCATCAGATACCATTTTTTCCTTTCTTCAGCCAGGACTGCACAGACAACCTGCTGCTGCTCCAAGAAACGTTCCACCATATCATATGAAGAATTCCAGCGAGTGGGTTCATCATGAATGAGTTTGTGGTCTGGAGAGGACAGATCTTTCTGTTTTTTTGGTCAGCTGCCGTGAAAGTTTTGGTGATCTTGTGAAGGCAGAAATAGTTTTCCGAAGCCTTGACAGCGCTGCGGACACCCTGTTTAAGTCTATTGCCTTATTTACAGCAAGGTGGAGATTGTGTCCAAAACAAGGAATCCAGGTGTAGTCCTCAAAGGCTTTTTTGTTATTTGTGGCATTGTCTGTTGTGATGCCTGACATTTTTACAATGTCCAACTTCCAGTCTTCAAGTTTTTCTTCAAAGGCCTCCTTCAAACTTTCAGCAGTGTGATCTGTGTTGAGACCACAACAGCCAAGACACCAGGATTGCAATTCCCACGATTTAGTAATGTACTGCAGAGTTACAGACATGAAAGTGTCTGCAGTTCTACTTGTCCAAAGATCTGTTGTGCAGCTGTAAAACGGTTTCTCTCCGAGATGCTGGATTATGAGGTCTCTGGTGTCATTGTAGATGCGTGGAATCTCAGTGTACATAAAAAAGTTTCGACTTGGAAGCTGGTATTTTGGGTTGAAGTGATGAAGCAGTTGCTGGAATCCACATTTTTGAACGGTATAAATGGGCACTTTATCCATACATATGAATTCAGCAACAGCTCGGTTCAGCTTTCTTGCCTCAGGTGAGTTTTTGTCATATTTCTGCTGCCGCTGAAAAGCTTCTGAAACTGTTGGCTGTTTTAGAGTATGCTGGTGGGGTGTTTCATGATCTTCCTCAGCCTGCAGCTGTAAAAGAAACATATGATTATAAGTATAGAAGTAAAACAATGGGCTGAGTCTGACCAAATGCAACATTAGATCATTGACACCAGCTAAAATATAAGGTTTCTGTAAATAACAAACCTCAGCTTTTATAATAAATCTAGATAAGATTACATGTATAATTTCATAATTTACTAATACATTTTTACAATTCAAAGTTTTATCTGTTAACAGAATTTAATGCACAACGAATAAACGTAAAAGATCAAGTGTTTGTATTAAATAACATTCACAAACATTAATAAAAAATATATTGTTCACTCACTGTAAGTTGATGTTAGATAATCCATAATGTTAGTGAATGGTACTATCATATTGTAAAGTGTTACCAAACTATACAGGAGATAAATTGAATGTGTTTTATTTGAATGCATTTTTATTTAATCAAACTATTCATATTCATTTATTTTATTTTGAACCTGCTGGTTATCCAGCCAAGAATAAGCCTAGAACTGATTTTTTGACAGACTTTTTTGACAGATGATTTGCGGGTCATTTAAAAAACCTCCGGTGTGTAATAGTAAACACCTTCATGTTCTCCTGTTGTTGTTTTTTTACCCTAATAAAATGTATAGGAGCATAAAACAGTTAATAAAGAAGCTTATTTCTAACACTCATTATATTTGCGTTAGCCGCAATTTGCAAATTGGCCTGGGACCGAAAAAGTTAATTTAAAACCCTGATTACCATAGAAAATTATTATCATAGAAGATGCATATTTTTATAAGGTTACAGTTACTTTATTGTACAGTAGCTCTTCTTTATGTGTCCGGTGTCAGACATAATGGCCTCATTTTAGATTTAAACTGCATTTCAGTTGTTGAATCATTGAATTTTTTTTTTTCAGATCTGGTCCTCCATACCTCATAGCAATCACTGCTCACACCTTCATCCAAGCCATTCCCAAATGAAAGCTGTTGTAAAGATGGAGGTTTTTGAAGGGGACAATGATATGAGAAATTCAGAAGCATGTGGAGTGAAAGATAAAGATACAGAGGAACAAAGAGGTTGGTGTACTGTCCATTCTTGATTCTTCATTAATGACGGCTGAAAAACCTGAATAAAACATTTTCTTATAGATTAACAGAATTGTAGATAGTTGTTAAAGATCCATAGAAGCAAAAAAATAGCATAGGACAAATAGAAGTGTCTAAAAAAATGTATATTTTCATTTTAGACTTGATGAATGTGCAAGAGGAAAGTGAAGAATCGAATGAAATCGAGAAGAAACATCCGATTCAGAACATTCATGATGCCAGAACTGGAGAAAAAAAACCTCAAAGAGCAAAAGCCCCAACATCTTTTACCTGCTCTCAATGTGGAAAGAGCTTCTCACGTAATTCAGTCTTTATTGTTCATACAAGACGTCACACAGGTGAGAGGCCGTTCACATGCCCTCAGTGTGGCAAGAGTTTCGTAAATAAAGGAAACCTTTGTGGTCACATGCAAATTCACAATGAAGAGAAGCCATTTACATGTGATCATTGTGGAAAGAGTTTCAAACATAAATCAGCCATTCGGATTCACAAAAGACTTCACACGGGTGAGAAGCCATTCACATGCGTTCAGTGTGGCAAGAGTTTCTCACAGAAAGGAGCCTTTAATACTCACATGCGAATTCACTCTGAAGAGAAGCCGCTCACATGTGATCAGTGTGGAAAGTGTTTTAAATGGCCAAAAAGTCTTCAAATTCATAAGCTCATTCACTCTGGAGAAAAGCTATTTGATTGTGATCAGTGCGATAAGAAGTTTTTTCAGGAATCAGATTTAAAGGGCCACATAAGAGTTCACACAAAAGAGAAGCCTTACTTGTGTTCTATTTGTGGAAAGGCGTTTTCATGGAGGGGACGTTTTAAAGAGCATCAGAAAATACACACTGGTCTGAAAGAGTATTTGTGCTCTGATTGTGGTAAAGCTTTTACTACAGCCCCTCTGTTAAAAGTGCACCAAAGGATCCACACTGGAGAAAGACCTTACAAGTGTTCATACTGTGAAAAGAGTTTCAAGCAGTTAGGAGCCCTTCAAGGACATGAGAGAATTCACACTGGAGAGAAGCCATATCAATGCCATCAATGTGGCAAGAGATTCAGCCATTCCAGTACTGAACAGATTCACAGAAAGAAGAATTGCCCAAAATTAAATGGAATGTCAGTACAATTATAAAGCAATTTATTATTATTATTTGGAAGGGGGTGTTTTATATAAATGTGGGAATTGGCTGTCTTCAGAAAAGTGTCAATGGTGTTTTCTTTTATTGATACATCTGCATAATGCTGAATAAAATGTATAATAAAGTACATTTATAAGTGCAGTTCTGCTTTGTGTACATGGGTAACCTCTCTATTTCTGCGGTTCCATAAGCATCACCTACTGTTGAGAAGCTTTTGTGTCCTTAAGCTGCAAGGTGCAAAGCATGTGCCACACCCCTCTTAGCCTGTTAATTTCCCTATTATAGGGAACAAGTGGGAACCCAGTGTGCCTGTGTCTTTCTCTATTGCAGTTCGATTACATGATAGAAAGTCTAAGGCCTTCAAAAGCCGTACAGCAAACCCATCTAATCTGGTGCCTAGTACACGCAAAACTAAGATTACTGTGGGGACAAAAAGTAAGACTGTTAAGTTAGCACTTTTAAGCATCCTCTCACTTAAAAATAAATCACTTCTAGTCAACGACTTAATAACCACATACAACCTGGACTTTATGTTTCTAAATGGAACTTGGCTAGAAGACAGCTTTAGTGCAACAGTCCGCAATGAAACAGCCCCTCCTAACTTTACTTTTATGAGTGTCTGCAGAGCGGGTAAGAGAGGTGGGGGCTTAGCTGCTCTTTTTAAAGATGTCTATCAATGCAAGCAAATATCATTTGGGAATTACCCGTCTTTCGAATATCTGGGTATTGTGTTAAAAGGTGCTCCACGCATTTTACTTATTATTTTCAGGGCGCCAAAATACTCTCCAGCCTTTGCTGAGGACTTTACAGAACTGTTATCATCAATTTCCTCAGAGTTTGACTGTTTTGCCATTGCTGGAGATTTTAACATTCACAAAGATAATGCAGAAACCAATATGGCAAAAAAAAATCTAAACTTTTGATCTGACTCAGCATGTACATGGTCCCACACTCAATCGTGGACACACTCTAGATTTACTTATCAGTAAGGGTCTAATCATTTCATCGATTGTTATTAAGGATGTAGCACTGTCTGATCATTTCTGTATTTTCTTTGATATATTGATCTCTCCTGCCATTGAAGCTAGATTTGTGTCCGTCAAGAAGAGATGCTTAAATGAGAACACTAGTGTACTATTTATGAAGGCTATATCTTTAACACCAAGCATATCTATCTGCTGACTCTGTTGATTTTCTCCTTGAGTTTTTTTAACTCAAAAGTTAAAAGTGTAATTGATAATATTGCTCCTGTGAAAGTCAGGAAGAAGAGTGGTAGACAAAAAGCACCTTGGAGAAACTCAACAGCAGTGCAAAGCATGAAGAGACAATGCAGAAGAGCAGAGCACATGTGGCGGAAGACAAAACTTGTAGTCCATTATAACATCTACAAAGACAGCATCCATGCTTTTAATATGGAACTAGGCAAAGCTAGACAGACTTTCTTCTCGAATATTATAAACAGCAACTTAAACAACACACACACTCTTTTTTCCTACTGTAGAGAGACTGACAAACCCCCCAAGCCAGATTCCCAGTGAAATGCTCTCAGACGGCAAGTGTAGTGAGTTTGCTTCTTTCTTCTCTGAGAAAATCAATAATATCAGCAGACTGATCTCATGAAATGGCGTATGTATGACACGCCAATTCGTATTTCCATTTTTGGCGTGCTATCAACACGCATAATCGCTTTTCAGCGTGTTTATCAACGCCGTTGACTTAACGTTACATTACTGTATATATAAATATATGACCTACCCCAACCCCGTCCCTAAACCTACCCGTCACTGGGGTTAATACCATTTATGAGTCTTCCCCTACCATCCTAGGGAAAAAAATATCGCTCCCCAGATGTAGATCTATATTTTGCTTCGTTTCGCTCGGACATTTAACGGCGTAGACATACACGCGGAATCACTCGGACATTTAACGGCGTAGACATACACGCAAAAGATGACGGTTCGTTTCGGCGTGGACATACACGCGGATAGCTCAAAATGCGTATAGATAACACGCCACTTGACTTGAAAGTGGCGTGTATGTTTACGCAAAGTCATGATGCCATGTTGATATCAGAAAGGTGGTCAGCACATCCTTGAGTCGCTCTGGGGTCAGACAGATCAGACCACAACCTGAGAAAGTAGTTACTATGTCTGATTTCGAAGAAATTGAAGGCAAGATTTTGGAAGAAACCGTACAGCACTTTAAAACATCAACCTGCGCCCTTGACGCACTTCCCACATCTTTTTTCAAAAGGGTGTTAAACAGCTTAGAAGCAGATCTCCTAGAAGTGGTAAATGCCTCACTTCTCTCTGGGAGTTTTCCAAACTCCCTGAAAACTGCAGTTGTCAAGCCCCTCCTGAAAAAGAGCAATCTGGATAAGACCATATTAAGCAACTATAGACCGATCTCAAATCTTCCTTTCATAGACAAGATCATTGAAAAAGTTGTCTTCAATCAGCTGAACAAATTCTTAAGCTTGAATGGATACTTTGACAGTCACCACAGAGTCAGTGCCAGGAGGCACGTGGATACTCCAAGGGCTGGAAAAGCTCATCCGGTGGGCTCGGATGGAGTTCAAACCAGCCAAGTCCCGTTCGCTAGTGCTGAAGAAGGGCAAGGTCACGGACAGGTTCCATTTCAGCATCAAAGGAGCAGAGATACCATCACTGTCCGAACAGCCGGTGAAAAGCTTGGGCAAGGTTTTTGACAGTAGCCTCAGAGACTTCGCATCAGTCCAGTTGACCGATGGCTGGCGTGGCAGAGAAGTGCGCACATGTGGCAGCCCTCCTGTACAAGATCGATACAGCTGTGCGTCTGCAAGGAAATGTAACTCCAACCGATGTTGAAGCGTACTGGGTGATGTCCTCCAATATAACCAAAGTGCAGGGAGTGCCTGGCCATACTATTGACTTTACAACAAGCTCAGCCCGAAAAAATGCACTTGATCGGTCAGTCTGTTGAGACACCAGCACATCACCCAAGATCCGGACCCGCTCAGGTGGCACGTTTACCGCAGAAGACACTTGCTGATTTAAAACCCCTCACAGAACTCATGCATGCACACAGGTCCGGACTGTGCTCTGTAATGGAGGAATTCTGCCACCTTTATGCTGACCCCATTCAGCCATGTGTCCTGCCCAAGTCACTGCTGCGTCTTCGCGACCCATGAATGGATGGCTGTGACTTGTCAGTCCTGCTTCAACATTGTGAGGGGCTGACACACCTTGTGGCAGTGACAGCCACAGAGGCAGCTGTACTCGAAAAGAACACAAGACACCAGCACAAGTCTGACATATGGCACAGCACACAGGCTGGAAGAATAACTGCCTCCATCATACACGCTGTTGTCTCCACCTCCATAACCAGACCAGCAAAGTCAACTGTGGAGAAGGTGTGCTATCCACAGAAACCTTCAATGAGAAAGACTGACAATGGCCCAGAGGCCATTAAATGGGGGAGAGAAAAAGAGGATACGGCAAGGGTCTCCTACATCACACAGACAGAGCTGCGGCACAGGGACATGAAAGTGGAACACTGTGGATTCATAATCAACTCTTATTTCCCTGAAATAGGCACGACTCCTGATGCACTTGTGCATTGTGCATGTTGCGGGAAATGATGTATGGAGATTAAATGCCCTTTTAAGCACCAGGACCATAACATTCTGCAGGCATGTACTGACAAGGAGTTTTATCTGCTGTTCACAGAAGGAAGGATGGAGTTGAAGCAGACCCACAAATACTATAAAAAAGGTACAAACTCAGATCTTTGTCACAGAGTCACAGTTCTGTGACTTTGTTGTTTGTACGACCAAAAAGCCTTGCAACTGTGCGTGTCATGCCTGACATAGAGCTTTGGGAGACACTTTTGCCAACCGCACAAAATATTTTTTACAAGGTTGTCCTACCTGAGCTTGTAGCCCGTCACTACACTCAACCCCCACCCCCTGTGCCTTCAGCTGAGCAACCTGTGCCATCAGCTGATTCCCAGCCCACAAAAAAAAAAAAAAAAAACTAGCACACAACACAGTCAGAAAAACATTGGCCACATTACAGCCAGGTAAAACACCCAAGCAACTGAAATTAAGTTTGTTGTTACTACTATTTAAGTTATGTAATTGTGATTGCAACCAAAGCACAATTCTTCCTTAATACAGATAAAGGAGGCAGAATTTCATTCAGTCTTTGTGTATTTTATTTACAGAGATGGCTAAAAATCATTACATGTGAGAAGTGACATTACAAAATCTTTTGGAAAACAAAAAAAACATATTTACATAATAGATGTGAGCTTGGTGTATAATTCTAACACGACAGCTTCACAACAATACTTGGACACATATTGGTCAAAGCACAGCACACAACCACAATTCTATCCAGCAAAGTCTTATCCTCCCCCTCACAAGGCACCAAAAATCCCAGGCGTATTGTGTCATTTAATAAGTTAAACTTAGAGCACATTCACCATATCACTTGCTCCACATGGATCCTGACATGAGCTAACTTCCTGGTCTGTTCCACATCTTTTGCATTAAGTTGGCTGTGGCCCCTGGTGAAGGCAGGTATTTTCAGTGTAGCACCCACAAGGGCAACACTTTCTTTAATATCAAATCCACGGTCCGCTAACACTAGGTCTCCAGGCGAGAGCTTCTGAAGAAAGCCACAGTTCTCGGTGATCTGCTTATCACTGGCATGCCTCCCACCCTTTGGAAATGAAAGAAATAGTCATACCTGTCAAGTTTTGGATTTGAAAATAAGGGAAATTTTCCGGCGCCCACCGCGAGCAGTCCCACCACCCCAACCAAGCTCCAGTATCCCTTACATTTTAAGACAGGTGTTATAGATAAATGAAAACACACACACACACACACATATATATATATATATATATTGTATATATGTATGGTATATATAGGGTATATATTAAGAGCATTTATTTAAAGGCTTATTTGCATATTTTCTGTTCATTTAACATTGCTTGTCTTTACATTTACATTTTATTTTCATTCCACACATTATTTTCATTTCATATTGCTTTTCTTTTACAGTTTTTCTTTTCATTTGCATT